TATAGAACATATTAGTGTTTTTCTCATTTCTGCCTTTTGACAACAGCAATAAAAGAAGCCTGTAATTCAAATCATCTAAGGTCATCTCTTGTAAATGCTTGAAGTCTGGAATGAGTTTTTAAGATCATCTGTGAAGTAAAGTTATACTGTTTACCTTAGATATCATGAATAACTAAGTGAATAATATTTGAGTTAGTACAAATTATTCCTCAATAAAAATGTATCTTTTGCCAAACTGAGGTGACCAAGCTCTTATTGTTGTTTATTTATTTTTTCATTATAAGAGCATTCTAACCACATTTACCAAAACAAAAAACAACAAAAACCCAAAAAGCAAACAAACAAAAAAACCCTTAGAAAATAGTCAAGTTTAAAATCACCCATGCTTAGACAACCTTGACGCCTGGCATCTTGATTTATTCATTTCCCAAGTTTGAACTGTTTTAAAATGTAGTAATTATAGAGATCAAACAAGTAGAACCATAATTTTTAATCAGTATTTTTCATGTCTTCACATGATGATCTATTTCAAGAACCTAAGCTCTCAGACCCTAACCAGTAAAATAGAGGAAAATTCTTTAAAAAGTGTGCCTTTGCGCCTGAGACCTTACAACTGACCAACAAAAGAGGAACTGGGTATTTGGGGATGCTGTGTGGTGTGTCTCCAGAAATCACTTCCAACCAATCCTGTCCTTCAACTGTGTTTGTTAAAGTTAATACTGACAAGAGAACTATAACTAAAAGCTGCATTCATTTCTCTCTCCTCTCTTTAGACCTTGTTGCTTAAAATACCAGCAAGCCTCAGGGGGAGGTTTGCCCCAGACTGTCCCAGTTTTAGCACTGAAAATCCTGCATCCTGGGAAAAATCCTCAGTCCAGGGCAAGCCAGGACAGCTGGTCACCCTATCAGGAGGAAGTGGGTGAATTTGTGCAGAGCCTGCAGGAGTGGGCAATCTGTCAGAGCTTACATCTCGTTCTGGAATTTCTCCATTGGATGTTGCCTATCTGTGCCCTTGGGTTTCAGGATCACCCACTTCAGCTATACCTTCTTGGCTTCTTAGCTCACTGTCACTAGATCCTGGGATATCTCACCTACTCACCCAGTCCAAGAGATACCCAGCCTAAGAGATATTCCTGTGGGGCAGATGAGAGTAAATATGATATTTAGATAAAAACAAAAGCTCTGGGATTCTCGTAATAATGCTGGCAGCCTCAAATGCCAGCTCAGAAATCTACTTCACTTGATCATTAATCTGATTTCCTTTTTTGTTGCATTTGACTTATGTGTTCTTTAAAAGTGAAAAATATTTTCCTAGCTTTTCAAATGAAGGATTTCCATTTGCACCAAAAGTAGTCCTTTTGTATATTGCATGCCCAAAATTATGCAGTTCATTCCTCCACTGCCTCATCCTAGAGGCAGTGCTTGTTTCTGATGAATCTTGAATAACAAGGAAAACAGCTCAGCGATGGTCTTCGCTTCAATTCAGTTCAACAAATGTGTACTTTACTGCTGTACAGATAAGTCTGCTTTTGCTGTGACTTGCATGTTTGCAAGATGTCTTGAAAACTTGCATGTTTTCACCCTCAAAGGTTTGAAAAACAAATCAATTTCAAAATATACTAATGACAGTGAGGTAACTATGAGACACTCAGAAAGATCCACAGGCATGACGAGAAAAAAACAGCCAGATACCCTTGTGTATTTGCTAATCAGCATCTTTTCACCGAAGTCTAGAAAAGGAACAAATTTATAAGGGATTATCTTTGTTCATCAACTATAATCAGGCCTGCCTAGAATGGTGAAGTAGTTAAGCCTTGTTTGCTGGTATAGATCATATATAATTGTTTCCATACTGTTGGCAAAACAGCTTTAGGAGTTTTGCATGGGCCGTGAGTACTCAAAGCAATCTTTGAGGTGATTTCTTTGTATAAACAATGCAAATTTTTATTGCTGTAGTTGGGTTGAGATTTTTAAAGAGGCTTTAAATCGATCAGGGCTTTTCCCTTTAGGTTTTCTTAGGAGAGCAGAGGTGGTGATGGTGACTGAGAAACATGAAAGGCCTCGTGTTCCTGCAACAGAGGCCCAGGGCTCTTTCATCTGGGGCTGAATCCCAGCCCACTGCTGCTTTAGAATTTGGAGTGTGTAAAAGTCCTGGGCTTTTTAATTATGCGTAAGTCGTTTAAGAAGCCTATACCAGGAAAGCAGCAATGGAAACATGCAGTGCAACATTTTATATCCAATTTGAGGAGCAACCAAAGGTCTTCACTCAGGCTAAATCAGAGCCTCCGAATAGATCAAAGGTAGCATGGAACTGAGAAAAACCTCTTTGTTGAGGGTAGAGTAACAAAGTCTTGTGAGAATTGATACCAGGTTAGTTGTTAAAAAATAATGAAAAAGTAGATAAGAAGGGAGAAAATTATTTCAGATGTCCACCTCCTAAATTAATCAACTGCTTTGAAAGTTTCATTTCTTATATGTGAAATTACATATATATATTGTACATTCATAATTGTGATATTTGATTTTTAAATGTCATACTTAACATTATGCGATAAGCACACTCCACATTGCTTCTGGTTCAATTTATTTTATTAGCTATATATTGTATTGGTTTACAACACTGTATATACGTTTTAGGATATAGGGTTAGACCTCTTCAGATGTATGTTATGACACCACACCCACCATCAAAGCACCTATAATCCTCCACCACAGTCCATTGGATTCCCTACCCTGTCATCATACCACATCCCACCCTCTCCCTCTTCTGGTAGCTTCAATTCAATAGTTAGGTTTCTAGGATTTGTTTTGGTTTAATTTTGTTTCTTTTCTTTACATATGAGTGAAATCATCAACATTTGTCTTTCTCCTTCTGACTTACTTTGCTTAGCATAATCCCCTCCAGTTCCATCCAAGTTGTTCAAAATGTTATGATTTCATCCTTTTTTTATAGCAGAGTAGCATTCCATTGTGCATGTGTACCACATCTCTAGCCAGCCCTCTGTAGTTAGGTTGTTTCCATGGCTTGGAAAGAGTGCTGCAATGAACACAGGAATACATTTATCCCTTCAAATTAGTCTTTTGTATTCTTCAGATAGATACAGAGGTGTGGAATTCCTGAATTAGATGGTGGGTCCATTTTTAATATCTTGAGAAGCCTCCACACCGTTTTCCACAGCACTGGAGCAGTCTGCATCCCCACCAACAGTGTGTGAGAGTTCTGCTTCCTCCACATCCCCAGCAACAATACTTGTTGTCTCTGGTTTTTTTGATCTGAGCCATTCTCATGGGTGTGAAGTCGTGTCTCATTGTGATTTTGGTTTGCATCACTGATGATAAATGATGACAAACAATTTTTCATATGCGCGTTGGCTATCTGTATGTGTTCTTTGGAGAAGTGCCTATTTAGCTCTTCTGCCCATTTTTTGATCGAGTTATTTGTTTTCTTTGTGTTGAGTTATATGAGTTCTTTGTAGATCTTTGATATTAATCCCTTGTGGGATAAATATTGCACAAATACTTGCTCTCACTCAGTAGGGTATCTTTTTGTTTTAAAGTTACTTTCTTTTGTTTTGCAGAAGATTTCGGTTTGATGTAGTCTCATTTGTTTATTTTTGTTTTTGTTTCCCTTGCTTTGGGGGTTGAGTCCTCACAGACACCACTAAAGACAGTGACTCACAGTGTTGCCTGTTTTCTTTTTTTTGTTGTTGTTGCCTGTTTTCTTCTATGTATTTTAGAGTTTCAAGTTTTACATCCAAGTTTTAATCCTTGTTAATTTTTATTTATAGTGTGAGATAGTGCTCTACTTTCATTCTTTGCATGTGTTCATCTAGTTTTCCCAATACCATTTGTTAAGGAGATTGTCCTTTCTTCATTGTGTACCCTTTATCCCTTGGATGTAAATTAATTGTCCCTGTAAGTGTGGGTTTATTTCTAGACTCTCAAATAATTCCATTGGTCTGTGTGTCTATATTTATTCTAATGTCATCCTGTTTTGTCAAACATTTAAAATGATTTTGCAGAATTCCATAGGTTCCTGTCTCACTGTTTATTGAACACTCACTAATTATGTTCAAGTTTTTCATTCATTCAAGACTCCATGAGTATAGTTATATATATATATATATATATATATATATATATATATATATATACACACACACACACACACACACACATACACACACATTTATAATTGGGGGGGGGTGGATTATTGTCATAGAATTTATTTCACAAAAAGTTTCCAGTACTTTTACAACTCAGGTTGTTGCAATACAGATTGAAAATTGTTTTGGAAGGAAAGGAAAGAGTTGCCCCAGAGCTGTTCCTTCTTTGATATCCATCAACTTGGCCAAAAAGAAAATGCTTTTTAGGAAGAAAGGACATTCCTTACAGTTCACAAGTGACTGTCATATTTAAGAAAAAGTGATCTTGGAAGTGACATGGCAGACATAGTTTGCCTCCAAGTGGTGAATCTGAAGTACCTGCACCTATCTGTGCTGCAAGAAATTGTAGTTTCCCTGAAATCTATGTAGGAGGTGGGGAGCGTGGATTAACTAAGAGTATGCTCAGCTTACCAGCTACCACAGTGACTGAAAGTAAAGTTAATAAAAAGCAAGATTCATGAAAATTCTATGGTATAATGATCCTTAGTTCCACTAAAATGCAACCACAGTCTTCTTTAACATAGTCTCCCATCCAAGTAAAATCTGTGTCACTGGGTAATACAGAGCAATGCTTTTGCAACTTTATGCAGATTCCTATTAAGAATCAAGCTTTTGGAAGAATGTAATGATTGAAATAGGTCTTGAGTGTATTTTAGATTGTTGCTATGTGTGACTAACTCAAAAAATGATCCCACTGATCTGTGGGGCTTTCCTCTCTGAGCATGTATCAGAGAAACTCAGGGTCCCTTTTCTCTCTTGCTATCTTTACTTGGATAGACTCACTGGCTTTACCTGCTGAATCCTGGATTGCCCCATGACTCAATTTCATTTCAGGTTTTGATCTACAATGGGCAACTGGACATCATTGTGGCAGCACCCCTGACAGAGCTCTCCTTGTTGGCCATGAACTGGAAAGATGCCAAGGAATACAGGACAGTGGAAAGAAAAGTTTGGAGGATCTTTAAAACTGATAGTGAAGTGGCTGGTTATGTGCGGCAAGTGAATGACTTCTGTCAGGTATGATAGCGCTTGGGGGCATGCAGGTGATGAGGATGGCAGAGTGGGATTGAAACTAAACCCTGAATACCAATAAGGCATGACTGATCTTAAAGACATACAACAATCAAAATGTATCATCTGTGAAATGGGATCTGAGTTCACATTAAAGTACATAGGACTTAATATAAAACCAGACGGAAGTTTAGGTATTGTACAAGAGCTGATGTGACAATTAAAAAGGCAATTTTTTTTAAGATTTATTTTTCATTTATTTATGGATACAAGAACTGGGTGTAGGCCAGAGGTTTAGGGGGGCGGTGAAAAGATTCACCAGAGACAGAGTGGGGAGCAGAACAGGTGAATCTACTGAAATACACTGAGGGGAGCAGCAGGAGAGAGAGGAGAGGTTTGCTGTGCCATGTGGGTTAACTCCCTTGCTGGGGAAAGAATTTAGTCCCACTGGCTGGCGATAGCTTGGCAGTACTGAGACTTTAACCCCTACACCACCAGGGAAGCCCCAAAAAGGCAATTCTTAAGCTCAAAAAGATTCATTAATGAGGGCCTCCTTGGTGGCGCAGCGGTTGAACGCTGGGTTGCAAAGCTGCCCGCGGCCTCTGCGGTGCCGGTTCGATCCCCAGCTGCTCCCCGGCCACCTGAGGAGGGTCCCACATGGCGTGCAGACCTCTCTGCCGCCCGCTGCTCCCCTCAGCAGTGTGCTTCGGTCCTTCTGCCTGCTCTGCTCCCCGCTCTCGCTCTGGTGAATTCTCTCACCCTCCCGCGCTTCTGACTGTACCCAGTGCTTGTATAAACAAACAAACAAATAAAAAATAAATAAAACATGCCTCTATTAAAAAAAAAGATTCATTAATGAGAAAATCAATATATTGAAGAACAAAAAGGAGATTGGACAAATTACATGAGGAAAATTCAATGTGATTTTCACTCAGGCTTCTAAATGTATGTACCACTATTTGTTTGGTTTCATCACCTCTTGGCCCCGAATCAACTATTGATTTTATGAGATCAGAACCATATTAGACTAAGCTTGCTGACCTTCCCCTCGCTTTGCAAGCCTGGCTCCTGTGGTACACAGAATAATGGCCCCAGAGTCCCCTCCTCCTAGTCTCTGGAACCTGTGTATATGTTGTATTATGAGGAAAGGAGTTAAGTCCACATAGGGAAATAAATTTGCTGAATGTCAGACCTAGAGATAAATTATTCCAGATTAATAATCAAATGCAGATAAGCTCACTGTAGTCACAAAGATCACTATAAGTGAATGAGGAAGTCAGGTTAATCAGAATCAACGATTGGAAGATACTACACCACTGCCTTGAAGGCAGAGGAAGGGAACATGAGTCAAAGAAAGCAGGTGGCATCAGGAAGTAACCCTAGAGCCTCTGTAGAATGAATGGAGTCCTGTCAATGTCTTGATTTAGTCCAGTGACACCATTTCAAAATTCTGACCTCCAGAATTGTAAAAATAGAAATTTGTTATTTTAATATACAAAATTTGTGATGATTTGTTATAACAAACATAGTAAATGAATACACCCCTCATGACCTGGCTACCTTGGCAGATTTTCAATACCTTCAAAGGGATGTGTTTTGTATTTTGTCCAGCTTTTTCACATTTCCTTAAAAGGAAGTTTGACAAGTTTCTCTGTCAATATAGTATATGGCACTTGTTGCTCTGTTCATGTTATACATGTTTTCAAAATTACAGTATGGATTTTTTAAAAAAGATTTATTTATGCATACAAGAGCTGGGGTACAGGCCAGAGGTGTGGGGGGTGAGAGGATTCACCAGAGACAGAGTGGGGAACAAAACGGGCAGATTGACCGAAGTACATTGCTGAGGGGAGCAGCAGGTGAGTCAGAAGAGGTCTGCTGCACCATGTGGGTACCTCCCTGGCTGGAAATCTAACTCGTGCTGCAGTGGCTGAGGATTGCTTCATAGGTTGCATCTTAACCCTTGCGCCACCAAGGAGGCCCTACAGTATAAATTCTTAACTTATCTTTAGGTAATAATCTATTGAAATATGTTAACTTTCTTAACAGTTCCTCTGTTGTTAGTCAATTAAGGTTGTTTTCCTTTGTTGTCATTAAAATTATTACTAACCTAATTTCCCAAAGAATATCTTGCATGTCAGTAGTTCTACATCAACTACTTAATCAGTCAGAAAAGATATACTATGATTTGTTTTGTACACTGTAACAAAAGAAAAAAACGTAAAATATGCCAGTAAAAGATAGGAGTCATAAGAGGTGGAAATATCTGCTTATATTTATGTTTAATAAAATAATAAAGACCATTTTTGTTTCATAAGCATTAAATACATGCCAGACATAATGATAGATATGGTTTTGGTATCATTGAAACACCGTTTTATTTATTTTTTTAAGATTTATTTATTTATGCATACAAGAGCTGGGGTACAGGCCAGAGGTGCAGAGGGTGGGGGTGGTGGTGAGAGGATTCACCAGAGACAGAGTGGGAAACAGAACAGGCAGACTGACGAAGTACACTGCTGAGGGGAGCAGTGAGCGAGTCAGGAGAGGTCTGCTGTGCCATATGGGTTGCTTCCTGAATAGCTTTATAGGTTGCATCTTAACCCCTTGCGCCACCAGGGAGGCCCTGAAATACCTTTTTAAATGATAGGATTTTATTTTAATTTTTTAGAGGAGGAAATAGACTGTGAGAACGTAAACAATTAATCCAGTATCATCCAATGATCGAGACAGAATTCAATCTTTATGCCAGTTATTTCCAGAGCCTGTTTGTCTGTGTCTACCACATTGCCTCTGACAGCTAATTGCCAGTAAGGTGGGGAACATTAGCTAAATAGAAGAGACACACTGGAAAAAAACTTATTTAACATTTTCATGTGTTATAAAAATGTTGATTAGGAATTCCTTAGGTGCAATATAAAAGAGATCCTTTTCAACACTTATAAGATTCTAAATACACTCCCAGCAATATATTAGAATGCTGTTATCCTTTGCCAAGGGCTAGAATTAAAGATACTAGTGTAATAATAAAATGCCCATTTCTTTTATTTTTGAGTACATCCTCCCATCCACTGACCAGATGCTCTGCCTGCTACAAGGTCAGCATACCTAATATGATGAAGTCTCTTCTATCAAGGGGTTCCTACTCAATGGAGGAAAGAAATAAAGACAGAACATAAAAATATATACTATTCACTAAGATAATATCAGAAAATAATACTAGATGATATGAAAGAATGTCAGGAGTGGCTGGTACAGGGACTGCTTGTGGTGGTGGATCTAGTAAGCCTCTCTGAAGAGGGTGTGAAGTGGCTGCCATGTGCAGGTGTGAGTCAGAGCTTGTGTGCAGGGAGTGTCTAGATGTGCCAAGGGCAGAAGCAAGCTGAGGTGTCTGAGAAAGGGAAAGAAGACCAGTGTATCTGTATTAAGAAAAGATAAAGAGAGGAGATGAAGCTGGAAAATTGTCTGCAGCCATATTATGTGGGACCATGTGGGTCAGGGTAGCATTTTGGATTTGGAAGGCTAATCACATCCCAGTTTTATATAGTTTTATACACACACACACACACACACACACATATATATATATATATATATATAAATATGTAGAAACAATATAATGGCTAGAGGCTTGACTAGTCAGCCAGGAAACATTAGTTTGCATTCTGAGTCTTCATTAGTTATATGACTTTGAGCAAGTTTCTCACCTGTTTATGCCCAAATTTCATTGTCTTATAAAATATAAAAAGTAAATAAAATAATTGTAGTAACAATACCTCCCTGCTCTGAACAGAATTGTGTCTCCAAGATTCATATGTTGAATCCCTAATCCACAGTATGGCTATAATTAGAGATAGAACCTATAGAAGATAGTTAAGATTAAGTGAGGACATAAGGGTGGGACTCTGGATCTTTGTGATTAGTGTCCTTGTAAGAAACACCAGACAGTTCTCTCTCCCCCGCCCCTCCTGCCCACCCTCCCTTCTCTAAAAACACAGAGAGAAGACGGCAATCCTCAAGACAGAAAGGGAACTTCTCCTGAAACCAAATCCATCAGCACCTTGATCTTGGATTTCACAGTCTCTAGAACTCTGAGAAATAAATTTCTGTTAAGAACAGTCGTTAATGGTGCCCTGTTAGGATAGCTGAAGGGATTCAATAAGCTAATTAAGTGTAGAGCAGTAACTGAGTCATAGTGTTTTAGTATTATTATTATTAGTTAGTGCCCTGGACCACTTTCAAACATATACAAAATAAAAGGAAAATTATAAATAGTAAAAGTTAAGATCAGGGGAAATATTTGATTCAAAATCAACCCAGTGGAGGAAGGTAGAATATTGATATTCAGGCCATTATGGGTAAACTTGAATGTTGAGCTGCCAGGGAGAAATGTCCATTGCATCACTTTACAATGAGAATCTCACCAAGTATGCTTAGCGAATCCTCAGATTCTTTCACAGCTGCGTCTTCCACCTGTTTTATGTCCCCTGGACCAGCCTGTAAAACTGTGGTGCCCCATCACACATGTGTCCTGCTTGACTCTGCATAAAGCATCCAGCTTGGAAGACCAGACTGCGGCTGCAGGGCAGCGCTGCTGCAGAGGTGGGAAAAGGGATTGGCTGCCACTCAGAAACTCATGGCAAATATCACACTCAGCCTGCTGACTCTTCTTGTGAATGCAAAACACATTTAGAGATGAAATGGCACCCCTCTGGCTGCCAAAAAATGGGTAACAAAAGAAGCAAGGCCCACATATGTTTGTGATAGGGAGTGTTTTAGCACGCAGCAAGGGACCTGCATTTTATGTAGGTGATTTAAAAAGGCTGGCGGAGCTCCTTCCCCCTCATGCCTCAGCGTATGATTGGGGGTAGTGTGTGGAGAGAAAAGAGGATGAAGGAGAGAAAAGAGCTCCGGTGTTAACAAAGGCATTCTCTGTAAGGCTTGAATTGAGAAAACTGTCCAAATGTCAAGTGTCTGATAATAAAAAAAAACGGACCTTCACCATG